AAATAATGGGACCGCCTTTCCTCTCCACCATCCAACTCTTAGATAGAGCTCAGCTTTTCTCGTGACCAAAAGCCAAACCCTAAACTTAGAGCGAGACAGCGGTCAGACAGGCTAGCATAGGTCCAAGATACAGGCGGACGGTAGCCCGCATCCCCTCACTAAAAAAAAAACCCACAGACTCCAGCAGGTTATCAATCAGAATAAGCTGCACCAGCTCCTCAAAGGTAGAGACACCACTTGCTTTATACCAGCTGGTAAAAGCTTTGGTTTGCTGTCTCACAAAGTCCACTAGGGATTGACCAAGCTGCCGCCTGCTTAATTTAAAATTCTTTCTGTATTTGGCTGGGATACATGTATATGCTCCCAACACTGTGGTCTTCACTACTTGATAATCAGAAAATTCAGCGTCATTTAATACTGACGTAAATTCCTGTGCCTTACCCAATAATGCTGTATGAACCAACGATGCCCAATGCTGTTCCGGCCACCTCAAGGCTCGAGCCTGATTTTCGAAGCTTTCGAAAAATTGTTCTGGTTCGGCCTCATTGAAGCGGGGAACAAGCTGTACTGCTTTTTGTAAACTAAAATCATTTACAGAATGCGAAAACTGCCTCCTTTCTCTTTTCCTATCATATTCTTCCCTTGCGAATGCTCTCTGTTCCCTAGTTTGCTCAAGATTGAGTTTTGCCAGCTCAAGTGCCAACGATGCTGATTTACCTTGAGACAACCCAGCTGCACTATATTGACCATTTTGCTCCGTAGGTGTATCATCTTCCTCCTGCGAGAACATTGTAGTTTTTGCCCTAGCTCCCGTAGAGGGAGGAGTCTGATGTGCCATCTCTTCTTCTATAAGTTTGTCAGCAATCAGTGAACACAGTTGCGCAGCTGTGAGAGTGCATTTGTATTTAATGCCAATGGAACGAGCAATTTGCCAACAACGTTGTAGGAACAATTTAGGTAGGTTATGCAAAGTATATGCCGACACCAGACGTCTGACTCGTCTAGGTGGCATAAGTTATTCGCTATGCACAGTACGATTGCAGAATACCCGAACGTAACACGTTAATTTGCAGAACACGCTTAGCTATGCACAGTACGATTGCAGAATACGCATACAAGCAAAGCAGACTTCAAAATTCTCCACACCGAACAGGCTAGTAACAACTGACTCGCAAAATTTGTAAAGCAATGCCAGACAGCTACACTGTTCTAGAAGATTGACCGTAGCAAAGCGAGCACACCGAACAAGCTAGTAGCGAGCTGTTGAACGATCACACAATAGCAAGGCTGACCATAAAGCAACTGACACGCAAAATTTGTAAAGCGTAGGCAAAGCTAATGCAAAGCCAGACAGCAAGCTGCACAATGTTCCTGCTACGAGCTTCACCCTAAGCTCAACCGTTTCTCTAAGTCCAGCTCCAGCTCTCGGACAGGCTACCCATATTACAACCCAGGAATCCAAATGGCCTGTTATCCCGGGTGTAATGGGAGCAAAATAAACACAGCAGAAAAAGTTTAGACTTATATTATCCTTCACCAATTTAGAACAGCAATATATACACTATGTACAGTGATAAGTACAGTGCACTCCACGGTAAGCAAGGCAGAATAGAAGCCACAAGATAGCAGACCGTGCTTAACCAGCTCTAGAATGGGAATGACAAGGGCAGACAGGAGAGCGGTACCCACATAACCTCTGCGATTGCCAAAACCATCTTCTTATTGGCTAGAACCTGGTCACTAGTTGAACGATGGGGCCCCATCATCAACTCTTAGCAACCTGGTTCGCTGGTTGGGGGTGATAGCCTGTAAATGAGGGTGTGTACATGCGCCGAATAAAGGTTACGTACTCTTTGCATGCCACACTCCAGAAGAAGGCTGCACAGACCAACTAACTGACATTAGTACAAATCCCATAGATTTCGAAAAAGAAATGGAAAACATGCCCACTCACTCAGCACCTGGATCAGATTCATGGAATGCTCTATTTATAAAGAAGTGCAAAGTACCACTAGCACGAGCCCTCAGTATTCTTTGGAGAAAGAGCTTAGATCTAGGTGAAATACCAGAGGCCTTAAAGAGTGCAGACATAGCTCCTTTGCATAAGGGAGGTAGTAGAGCACAAGCTAAAAATTACAGACCAGTAGCCCTAACCTCTCACATCATAAAAATCTTCGAAAGAGTGATGAGACGGCAGGTTACAAATTTCATGGACCAGCACAACCAACATAACCAGAACCAGCATGGTTTTAGAGCAGGACGATCATGTCTTTCACAGCTGCTGAACCATTATGACAAAATTACGGAGGCACTGGAAGACGACCAAAACGCAGATGTGATTTACACAGATTTTGAAAAATGCGATCATGGAGGCCATGGGCATTACAGGGAAGGTAGGCAGATGGATTTTTGGGTTCTTAACACACAGAACACAAAAACTAGTAGTAAACAGAGCAAGATGCAGCATCAGCGAGGTAAAAAGCTCAATGCCCCAAGGCACTGTCCTGGCACCCCTGTTCTGCAGAGGTGCCAGGACAGTACCTTGGGGCACTGAGCTTTTTACCTCGCTGATGCTGGATCTTGCTCTGTTTACTACTAGTTTTTTACAAATTTTATGGACTAGCACAACCAGCAGTGTCCTGGCACTTCTGCTGTTTCTCATCCTCATAGCAGACATAGATAAAAACACCTGGCACACTTTTGCATCATCATTTGCAGATGACACTAAAATAAGCATGAAAGTCAGTACGGTAGAGGACACTGAAAAATTACAGGAAGACATAAACAAGGTTTTCCAGTGGGCAGTGGAGAACACCATGACGTTCACTGGTGATAAGTTCCAGCTGCTTAGGTATGGAAAGAATGAAGAACTCAAAAGGAACACTATATACAAAACTCAAGAGGGTCACCAAATAGAACAAAAAGAAAACGTGAAAGATCTGGGAATAATTATGTCAGCGGACCTTTCCTTTACAGAACATAATAAGACAAAAATCACGACAGCCAGGAAGATGACGGGGTGGGTATTGAGAACTTTCAAAACAAGAGAAATAATGCCGATAGTGACACTCTTCAAATCGCTTGTGCTCCCTCACTTAGAATATTGCTCAGTGTTGACGGCCCCGGTCAAAGCAGGAGAAATATCAGAGCTGGAACAAATACAGACATCGTTTACGGCTCACATTGAACCAGTAAAGCACCTAAATTACTGGGAACGCCTTCAAGTCTTGAACATGTACTCACTGGAGCGGAGGAGAGAGAGATACATAATAATATTTATCTGGAAAGTACTCGAGGGCTTGGTCCCAAATCTGCACACTGCCATAACAACATACTGGAGTGAGAGATATAGGAGGAAGTGTAAAATAAACCCAGTGAGGAGCAAGTGTGCAGTGGGGACAATAAGGGAACACTCTATCAACATCCGGGGTCCCAGACTTTTCAACGTCTTACCAGAAGATATCAGAAACACGGCTGGAACAAGTGTAGAAGCCTTCAAGTGGAAACTGGACAATTATCTTCACCAGGTGCAAGATCAACCAGGCTGTGATGGATAGGTGGAGGAGCGAGCCTCCAGCAGCAGCAGCCTGGTTGACCAGGCAAGCACCAGACGAGCCTGGCCCATGGCCGGGTTCCGAGAGTAGTGAAACTCTCTTAAACTCTTCAAAGGTACTTGTTGAGGTTTTCGCTGTTTACAAGAGTCAGGCTCGCTCATGCGGGGTTGAGTCACTCAAACTGGCAAGTGGTAGGACCCGTTAATTCCCTGTCAAGGTAGTCCAGTTAATGTGACTGTTGAGGTAGTCCAGTCAGTATGACTTTGAAGGTGGTCCAGCCAGTGTGACTGTTGTGGTCGTCCAGTCAGTGTGTCTGTTGAGCTAGTCCAGTCAGTGTAACTCTGAAGGTGCTCCAGTCAGTGTGACTTTGAAGGTGGTCCAGTCAGTGTGACTGTTGTGGTCGTCCAGTCAGTGTGTCTGTTGAGGTAGTCCAGTCAGTGTAACTCTGAAGGTGCTCCAGTCAGTGTGACTTTGAAGGTGGTTCAGTCAGCGTGACTGTTGAGGTAGTCCAGTCAGTGTGACTCTGAAGGTGGTCCAGTCAGCGTGACTGCTGAGGTAGTCCAGTCAGTGTGACGGTTGAGGTAGTCCAGTCAGTGTGACGGTTGAGGTAGTCCAGTCAGTGTGACGGTTGAGGTAGTCCAGTCAGTGTGACGGTTGAGGTCGTTCAGTCAGTGTGACTGTTGAGGTAGTCCAGTCAGTGTGACTGTTGAGGTCGTCCAGTCAGTGTGACTGTTGAGGTCGTCCAGTCTGCTTATGTGGCAGAAACCACCCTTGCCGAATAGGCCAGACTCGCTGATTCGGCTTAATTACACACACACACACACACACACACACACACACACACACAACACACACACACACACACACACACACACACACACACACACACACACACATATACACACACACACACACACACACGCATACACACATATTAAGCTTATTACAACTCAGGAGTCCAAAAGGCCTGTTATCCTGGGTGTAAAGGGAACAAAATAAACACAGCAGAAAAACTTTTGACTTACATTATCCTTCACCAATTTAGAACAAAAGTATGTACACTATACACACTATGTACAACAATAGGTATTAGTGCACTCCACGGTAAGCAAGGCAGAATAGAAGTCACTAGACAGCAGACTGTGCTTCAACCAGCTCTAGAATGGGAATGACAAGGGCAGAGAGGTGAGTGGTACCCACATCACCTCTGCGATTGCCAAAACCATCTTCTCATTGGCTGGAACCTGGGTACTGATTGAATGACGGGGCCCCATCATCAACCCTTAGTCCCTGGTTCGCTGTTTGGGGGAGATAGCTTGTCAGTGAGGGTGTGTACATGCGCCGAATGAAGGTTACGTACTCTTTGCATGCCACAAAGCTATTTCTCCTTTACCTTCATCAAAGTATTATTCCGGTAACATTTTGAAATATCTTTTCTCCTTCTAGGTGTGCTTCCGCCTCGTCCGTATGGTGCTACCGGGCCCTCCAGCAGGAAGCCTAAGCCAAAATCAAACCAGTCGAACCTCAGTTACTCCACTCGTCAAAGAAACTGCTTCTGTGCCTGCCAGCGCCTTCTCGTGGGAGGTGAAGTACTGTGACCTCTTCTGTCCTCACTGAACGAATGGTTCCCACTAAGTCATCAGTAGATTTGATCTTACACGCTGAGACAGACGGATGCCTTCAGCCTCACCTACCTCCTGACCTGGAATCCTCACCTCTTCGAGGTCCACGTTTGATATCAGATGATGAAGTGATCATGAAGTGACCGATGCTCACCTCACCTCTCCCATTAAAGATGTGCTACGTTGTGTTGCAGATGGCGCTCCAGTTTGCAAGACGAGCCACGTTCATGATGACGAAGTATCTGAGACATTTTGTCATTCCTCGACATGCTTGTCCACCATTGTTGTGGAGTACAGTGTTGCAGGGATCAAGCAGCCTCCCAGACCTACATATTCAACTGCCAATTATATGATTCCTTAATTCCGTAACAAGGAGGTGTGTCATAACAGTATTAAGACAAAATAATGAACTTTTTTCCCTCTCATTTAATGTCCGCTCTGTTGTACTGTATAGTTACACAAAGACTGAAGTTTACAAGACTCGTCTCTGTATTTATTACCTTATGTTTTAATTCTGGGAAATTGTGTTTGCCTTTTATTTTGTTTTTATTTGTTATAGGCAAGAACTGCAGTTGCGTTGTTATTCAAATGGTCAGTATTTGTGGAAAGTGTTCAGTGAAGTACCTGTTTCTTTGCTCCCATAAGATGTTCGATGTATAAAAATTTTTATTTATGGAAGTGAAGTTTTCATAGAACGAAGTTGAATAAGACGACGGTGGTGTGAACTGCCTCCTATCTGTCACCTGCTGAACAAAATTTGAAGACTTTCTGGTCACCAACCTGACGTGGACAAAGACAGTGTCAGAGAAGTGATAGTGTTTTTCTTCTCAGTGCTACGTGTGTTGAAATGAAGTATAGACAATAAGTGTTCGCACATGTCCGCTAGCACGTAGTATGTTGTGAGTCACTTGTCTCGATCACCTACCGCAGTGACCCCATGAACGCTGACTGACCCTCTGCAGATTAGAACACCTTTTTGGTTTGTGTGCAACACTTGAAGACGTGAAGTGCAGTGTGACTCAGTGGCACGAAGCTATCAATTTATACCTCAGTACTGTAAGAGGACACTAGATGTGCGTAGCTCATCTCGCAAGGCCAGTGGATATATACAATTGAGATTATTTAATTTTTATCACGTCTTGGAGATGAGTCACGCAGTTCTCCCCTTCCTCAGCTCTTATGCCGTACGAGATCCTCCTGCAGGAATGGTCGTGGGGCGTGCGGGCGTGTACAGTCAGACGTGGGCAGCCAAGGACCATAGCGGGTGTGGTGTAACGTCCATCGGGGCCACTACCAGCCGGAACACATTCCCAGCCCTGACCACACCTCCCATGCACATACCAGAGTCTGCCTTAAAGTATCCCTAGAGAGCCATCCTTGTTAATACTCAAAGTTGGTATTGGAGAAGATAACCAGTTACTTTGTAGCTTTTGGCTGCCATGCAAATTTACCATCAGACACACTATATTAGTCATGCGAGTGAAAAATGTGCGTATATTGTTGGCTATTGTACAAAAAAAAACCCGCCATATTATAAGTGAGACTAATACTTATATTGGTGTTGTGAAGATTTAAACACAGCTCTCTCTCCCGCCTGGGCGTTAATATTGATAGGTTGTCCTCCATCAGAATTAAGAAGTGTGTGTGGTATGTGTGTTGGGAGGTTTGTGTGCTGTGGTTTGTGATGTGTCAGTGCTGTCACTTGTGCATGTATGTGTGCCTCTTAAATGAAAAATATTGTGTGTATCGTTTCATTAAATTATTGTACAATAAAGTTTAGCACCCACAGTGTGAGTCAGTGTCATTATCTGTGAAGAGTTTCACTGATGTGTGTACGTGTGTGTAGAGTATGTTATGTACGTGCGGACAAGGAGTGGTGGCTGGTTAGGTAGGTTAATTTACTGGTTAAATTTTTTTTATGTATCTCAGATGTGTTTGTTTATTTTTGTAATGATCTTGTGGTTGGTATTGTATTATTTATCGTAGTATATATTATATCGTGATGAGCTGCCAGGTGGGCCTGGCTTCAAGTGTGTGTAGGAGGCCAGGAAAAGTAACAAGATGCACCTCAGGACTAGGTTAGCTACAGTATCCACTCCCACCTCTCACACCTTCGAAATTTTGCTTGCAGTGGAAATAACTGACACCAGGTTTCTCGAAAGCGAGAGAAAAAAAAATCTTCAAATTTTACCTCTTTCATTATGTTTTGACCTATACCGGGACTCAGAGTGAAGTCATATTGTTGGGCCTTATTGAGTTGAAAGGTGTATGTTTTAGTGGCCCTTAACAGCCCTCCAGTAACAACTCCTCCAGTAACAACCCCTATAGTAACAACCTCTCCAGTGATAACCTCTCCATTAACAACCCCATCAGTAGCAACCCCACCAGTAACAACCCCTCAAGTAATAACACCTCCAGTAACAACCCTACTAGTAACAACCCCTCAATAACAACCCCCTCAGTAGCAATCATCCAATAACAACCCCTCCAGTAACAACTCAGTAACAACCACCAGTAACAACCCCCAGTAACAACCCTCAACCTCCAGTAACAGCCATCCCAGTAACAACCCCCAGTACCAACCCTCCCAATAACAACCCCAGTAACAACCCCTAGTAACAACCCTCATTAGCAACCCTCAGTAACCCCCAGTAACAACCCTTCCAGTATCAATCCTCCCAGTAACAACTCCCAGTACCAAGCCCAGTAACAAACCCGAGTACCAACCGCAGTAAACAACCCCAAGTAACAACCCCTGATAACCTTCCCAGTAATAACCCCCAGTAAAAAACCCTCCCAGTAACAACCCTCTAGTAACCCCAGTAACAACCCCCGGTAACAACCCTCCCAGTAACAATCCTCTAGTAACAACCCCCAGTAACAACCTCAGTAACAACCCTCAACAGCCTCCAGTAACAGCCATCCCAGTAATAACCCTACAGTAACAACCCTACAGTAACAACCCCAGTGACAACCTCAGTAACAACCCCCAGTAACAACCCGTTCCCAGTAACAACCCCCAATGACAACCCCCAGTAACAACCCCCAGTAACAAACCCCCAGTAACAACCTACCCCCAGTAACAAACCCCAGTAACAACCCCCTGTAACAAACCCCTATAAACCCGTCCCCAGTAACAACCCCAGTGACAACCCCCAGTAACAACCCCCAGTAACAACCCCAGTAACAACCCGTCCCCAGTAACAATCCCCAGTGAAAACCCCAGTAACAACCCGTCCCAGTAACAAACCCCCAGTAACAAACCCCCAGTAACAATCCCCAGTAACAACCACCAGTAACGCCCCCAGTGGCAACCCCTCCCCAGTGACAACCCCCAGTAACAATCCCAGTAACAAACCCCCCAGTAACCCCTCCCCAGTAGCAACCACCAGTTACAACCCTCAGTAACAACCCTCAGTAACAACCACCCAGTAACAACCCCCAGTAGCAACCCCTCCCCAGTAACCACTCCAGTAACAACCCGCTGTAATAAACTCCCAGTAACAACCCCTCCCTCAGTAACAACCCCAGTGACAACCCCCAGTAACACACACCCAGTAACAAAATCTCCCAGTAACAGCCACCAGTGGCAACCCCAGTAACAAATCCAGTGACTCCCCAGTAACAACCCCCAGTACCAAACCCCCCAGTAACAACCCCTCCCCAGTAACAATCTCCAGTAACAACCTGTGCACTCTCAAGACCACAGTAAAACAAATCTTAAAGTTATGTATACAATGCCGAAATAAAATTTCAACAAGTAATCTGAAAATCCGAGAAGTCAACCCTCTACTATATAATAGAAAACGTGAGGTGACGGTGTGTGTAAAGCATGGGAAGTGGATCATTAGTCCCCCTCCCTCAAGCAACTCTCTGGAACACTCAAAAATACCCCCCACCCGCTCTCCCCTCCTGATTCCCCCTCCCAAACCCCCAGGAAGCACCACTACCCCCTGACCCACGATTCCCCCTCCCCACAACCCAGGGAACACCGCTACCCCCTGACCCATGATTCCCCATCCCCAACAAGCAGGGAACACCACAACCCCGTGCCCCATGACTCCCTTCCCCACCACCAGGAACACCACTACCCCGTGACCTAACGACTCCCTTCCCACCACCCAGGAAACACCACTCCCCCGGGCCCCATGACTCTCCCCCCCCACCACCCAGGAAACATTACTACCCCCTGACCCATGACTCCCCCCCCCACCACCAAGGGAACACCACTACCCCCAGACCCATGACTCCCCATCCCCACCACCCAGGAAACCCCACTACCCCCTGACCCATGATTTCCCCCTCCCCACCACCCAGGAAACACTATTAACCCCTGACCCCATGCCCTCCCATCCCCACCACCAAGGGAACACACTATCCCGTGACAATGACTCCCCATCCCACCACCGGAAACACCACTACCCCCTGACCCATGACTCCCCATCCCCAACACCCAGGAAAAACACCACTAACCCCTGACCCATGATCCCCATCCCCACCACCCAGGGAACACCACACCCCTGCCCATGACTCCCATCCCCAACACCTAGGAAACACCATACCCCCTGACCCATGACTCCCCATCCCCAACCCCTAGGAAACCCCACTACCCCCTGACCCATGACTCCCCCCCCCACCAGCCAGGAAACACCACTCCCCCCTGACCCATGACTCCCATCCCCACCACCCCAAAAAGACCAATCCCCTGCCCCAGACTCCCCCCCCCCCACCCCCAAAGGAAAAACAACTACCCCCTGCCCCATGATCCCTCCCCACCACCAGGAAACCACCCCCCCCCTGACCAGGGGACTCCCCCCCCCCCACCCCCCCAGGAAACATCATCCCCCTGCCCCAGACCCCCATCCCCACCACCCAGAAAAGCCCACTATCCCGCCCTGATCCCCCCCCACCACCGGGAAAACATCACTACCCCTGCCCCATGATTATCCCCACACCCAAAAAAAGACCACTATCCCCTGCCAAAGGACTCCCCTCCCCACCCCCCAGGAAACATCCTACCCCTGACCCAAATCACTCCCCCTCCCCACCCCCCGGGAAAACATCACTACCCCCCCCCATGACCCCCCATCCCCACCCCCCAGAAAAGACCACATCCCCTGACCCAGGACCCCCCCTCCCCACCACCCAGGAAACTCACTCCCCCCCTGACCCATGACCCCCCTTCCCACCCCCCCAGGAAAATCACTCCCCCCCTCCCCCATGCCTCCCTCCTCACCCCCCAAAACATCATACCCCTGACCCATGACTCCCCCTCCCACCCCCCAGAAACTCACCCCCCCCTGCCCCCATGACTCCCCCTCCCACCCCCCGGGGAACACCAAAACCCCCCGCCCATGACTCCCCCTCCCCACCACCGGGGAAACCCCCATCCCCCTGACCATGCTCCCCCCCCCCACCACCGGGGAAACATCACTACACCCGCCCCAGATCCCCCCCCCCACCACCCAAAAAAACCCCCCCCCCCACCCATGACTCCCCCCCCCCACCACCAGGAAAACACCAACCCCCCCCACTCTGACTCCCCCTCCCCACAACCCCGGGGAAAACCAATATTTCCCCCCCATGACTCCCTCCCCCACCACCCAGGGAACACCACTACCCCCACCAATGACTCCCCCCCCACCACCCAGTAAAAACCCCCACTACCCCACCCCATGACTCCCCCCCCCCACCACCCGGGAACGCCACTACCCCCCCCCCCCCATGACTCCCTCTCCCCCCCCACCAGGGAACCCCACTACCCCCCCCCATGACCCCCCCCTCCCCAAAAACCCAGGGAACACCACATCCCCCCCATGACTCCCCTCCCCACCACCCGGGAACCCCACTCCCCACCCATGACTCACCCCCCCCCCACCCCCCGGGAAAACTCACTACACCCCCCCCCCGACTCCCCCTCCCAACCCCCCGGGGAACACCATCCCCCCCCCACGCATGACTCCCCTCCCCCCCCCAGGGACCCCACTACCCCACCCTGACTCCCCCCCCCCCACCACCCAGGGAACACCACTACACCCCCCCCCCATGACCCCCCCTCCCCACCACCCAGGGAACACCACAATCCCCCCCCATTACTCCCCCTCCCCACCACTCAGGGAACCCCCACTACCCCCCACCCATGACCCCCCTCCCCCCCCACTCAGGGAACACCACTACCCCCCCCACCCAGGACTCCCCCCCCCACCCCCCGGGAAAAAACACCCTACCCCCCACCCATGACCCCCCCCTCCCACCACCCGGGAAAAACCCCACTCCCCCCACCCATGACTCCCCCTCCCCCCACCGGGGAACACCACTACCCCCCCACCCATGACTCCCCCTCCCACCCCCCAGGGAACCCACCCCCCCCACAATGACTCCCCCTCCCACCCCCCGGGGAAAACACAACTCCCCCCCACAATGACTCCCCTTCCCCCCCCGGGGGAAACACTACCCCCCCCCCATGACCCCCCTCCCCACCACCCGGGAAACCCCAAATCCCCCCCTGACCCTGACTCCCTCCCCCCCACCAAAAAGACCATATCCCCTGACCCACGACTCCCTCCCCACCCCCCCTGGAACACCATACCCCCCACCATGACCCCCCCCCACCCCCCAGGGAAACACATACCCCCCCCCCATGACCCCCCCTCCCCACCACTCAGGGAAACCACTACCCCCCCCCCCATGACCCCCCCTCCCACCCCCAGAAAACCAACCCCCCCACCCATGACTCCCCTCCCCCCACCCAGGGAACACCATACCCCCATCCATACTCCCCTCCCCCCACCCGGGGGAACACCACTACCCCCACCCATGATCACCCTCCCACCACCCGGGGAAAACACCATACCCCCCCCATGACTCCCCCCCCCCCCCCAGGGAAAACCACTACCCCCCCCCCATGACTCCCCCCCCCACCCCCCCAAGAGAACACCCTACCCCCCCCCCATGACCCCCCCTCCCCCCCACCCGGGGAACACCACTACCCCCCCACCCTGACTCCCCCCCCCCACCCCCCAGAAAAACCCCACAACCCCCCCCCGGGATCCCCTCCCCCCCACCGGGGAACACCCTACCCCCCCCCCCAGGGACCCCCCCCCCCCACCAAAAAACCCACTACCCCGACCCATGACCCCCCCCTCCCCACCACCCAGAGAAACCATACCCTGCCCCATGACTCCCCTCCCCACCCCCCGGAAACCACTACCCCCCCTGACCCATGACTCCCCCCTCACCACCGGGGAAAACCCCCACTCCCCCTGACCCATGACCCCCCTCCCCACCACCTGCTGCCTTACAGTGTATATTTTTATTTGTTTTTTTATTGTAGAGACAACCTTTTTTTTTTTCCTGTAGAATCATTGAAAAAAAATTCAAAAAAAATGGAAGAATATTTTGAGTATTTTTTAATTATTACCCCCCCCCGTTGTTGTTTTTTTTTAAATAATAATAAAAAAATAATAATAATATAATAATAATAATAATATTTTAATGAGGTTTAAAGTTTTGCCAACATAGTGATGAGGCACCGAAAACCTCACCATAGGCGCATTATATTACAACCCAGGATTCCAAAGGCCCTTTTTGTCCGGTGTAATGGGAAAGCAAAATAAACACGCAAAAAATTTTTTGATTTTTTAAACCTTTCCCAATTTAAAAACAGCAATATGTCCCATGTACGTGAAAGTATAGTGCACTCCACGTAAGCAAGGCAGAAAAAAAAAAAAGGCCACAAATGCAGACCGTGCTTCAACCAGCTCTAAAGGGGAAATGACAAGGGCAGACAGGAGAGCGGTACCCCCAAAAAACCTCTGCGATTCCCCAAAAACCCTTCTTATTGGCTAGAACCGGGTCACAGTTAAACGACGGTGCCCATCATAAACTCTTAGCAACCCTGGTTCCTGGTTGGGGGAATAGCCGGTAAATGGGGTGTGTACATGCCCCGAAAAAGGGTTACGTCTCTTTGATGCCACACCCCCCCCCCCGAGAAGGCTCAGGATTAGGCTGCCACCTCCCAGGGGTTTTACCATGCCGCCATGGCACAAAATAATGGGACCCTTTTTCCCTCTCCCATCCAACTCTTGATACAGTCAGCTTTTCTCGTGCCCAAAAGCCAAACCCTAAATTTTGAGGGGACAGCGTCAGACAGGCAGCATAGGCCAAGATACAGGG